GATCAAGACCATCCTAGTCAACACAGTGAAACCCCATCTCTACTAAAACTACAAAAATTAGCTGGGTGTGGTGGTGCATGCCTGTAGTCCCAGCTACTTGGGAGGCTGAGGCAGGAGAATTACTTGAACCCGGGAGGCAGAGATTGCAATGAGCCAAGATCGTGCCACAGCACTCCAGTCTTACGACACATCAAGACTCCGTATTTAAAAAAAAAAAAAAAGCCTGGAGGCCACACGGGGTGGCTTACACCTGTTGAAATTAGAATCAGTTTCAGGCCGGGCGTGGTGGCTCAAGCCTGTAATCCCAGCACTTTGGGAGGCCGACGCGGGTGGATCACGAGGTCAAGAGATTGAGACCATCCTGGTCAACATGGTGAAACCCCATCTCTACTAAAAATACAAAAAATTAGCTGGGCATAGTGGCACGTGCCTGTAATCCCAGCTACTCAGGAGGCTGAGGCAGGAGAATTGCCTGAACCCAGGAGGCGGAGGTTGCGGTGAGCCGAGATCGCGCCATTGCACTCCAGCCTGGGTAACAGGAGCGAAACTCCGTCTCAAAAAAAAAAAAAAAAAAAGAAATTAGAATCAGTTTCAAAAAAGACGTGAGAATAATGAAAATACCATCCTCACTCTGTGTCAGACACTGTACTTGGCACTTCACATGCACTACCCATTTAACCCTGCCCCAAGAGGTATGTGTTACTGGCATTCCTGGGTTTTTCACAGAGGGGAAAAAAACTGAGGATTAGAAAGCAGTAACTCTCTTGAGGTAGGCACGTAGCTAAGTGGTATCATTGGGACTTACTCTTTGATAAGCATTTTTGAGCACAGGAATTTATACGATGGTATTTTTCTTTTTTTTTTTGCTTTTGTTTTTGTTTTTTTGAGACGGAGTTTTGCTCTCGTTACCCAGGCTGGAGTGCAATGGCGCGATCTCGGCTCACCGCAACCTCCGCCTCCTGGGTTCGGGCAATTCTCCTGCCTCAGCCTCCTGAGTAGCTGGAATTACAGGCATGCGCCACCACGCCCAGCTAATTTTTTGTATTTTCAGTAGAGACGGGGTTTCACCATGTTGACCAGGAGGGTCTCAATCTTTTGACCTCGTGATCCACCCGCCTCGGCCTCCCAAAGTGCTGGGATTACAGGCTTGAGCCACCGCGCCCGGCCTACAATGGTATTTTTCAACTTAAGTACCAAAATTCAGATTCTGAGATATACATTTTCCCTTTTTTTTTTTCTCTGAAACAGAGTTTCTTTTTTGCTGCCTAGGCTGGAGTGCAGTGGCGCAATCTTGGCTCACTGTATCCTCCGCCTCCTGGGTTCAAGCGATTCTCCTGCCTCAGCCTCCCAAGTAGCTGGGATTACGAGCGCATACCATTCATACCTGGCTAATTTTTGTATTTTTGGTAGAGTCTTGGTTTCACTATGTTGGCCAGTCTGGTCTCTAACTCCTGGCCTCAAGTGATCCACCCTCCTCAGCTTCCCACAGTGCTGAGATTACAGGCGTGAGTCATTCCACCTGGCTCCTCCTCTTCTTCAATGTTATTATGTACTGTATTAATGCACTATAACACTGTTCTACTTTTTCCTCTTAACAATATATCCCAGAAATTGTTCCACAGCAGTAAATATACACCTTCGTTGTCCTTTAAAACAGCTCCATAATATCTAATTACATTTTTTTCTTTTTGAGAGGGAGTCTTCCTCTGTTGCCAGGCTGGAGTGCAGTGGTGCGATCTCAGCTAACTGCAACCTACACCTCCTGAGTGATTCTCCTGCCTCAGCACCCCCAAGAGCTGGGACTACAGGTGCGCGTCACCACACCCAGATAATTTTTGTATTTTTAGTAGAGACAGGGTTTCATCATGTTGGCCAGGATGGTCTCAATCTCTTGACCTTGTGATCTGCCCGCCTTAGTCTCCCAGAGTCCTGGGATTACAGGTGTGAGCCACCATGCTTGGTCTGAGTAATTACACTTTAAATGGTACTAAATTTAATAATTAACTCTTCTTTTTTTTGTTTTTTTGACATGAAGTCTCACTCTGTTTCCAAGGCTGTAGTGCAGTGGCGTGATCTTGGCTCACTGCAACCACTATATCCCAGGTTTAAGTGATTCTCCTGCCTCAGCCTCCTGAGTAGCTGGGACCACAGACACACACCACCATGACTGGCTTTTTGTATTTTTAGTAGAGATGGGGTTTTCCCATGTTGGCCAGGCTGGTCTCGAACTCTGGAGCTCAGGTGATCGCCCACCTCGGCCTCCCAAAGTGCTGGGATTACACGTGTGAGCCACTGCACCCGGCCAATAGTTAATTCTTAAGTATAGTAATTACAAGTGTTGGGGATGAAAACTCTATTTTTAAAGGGGAATTTTTTGGAGGCCAAGGCAGGTGGATTACCTGAGGTTGGGAGTTCAAGACCAGCCTGACCAACATGGTGAAACCCCATTTTTTTTTTTAAAGCCAAAAAAAAAAGGGCCGGGCGCGGTGGCTCAAGCCTGTAATCCCAGCACTTTGGGAGGCCGAGCCGGGTGGATCACGAGGTCAAGAGATCGAGACCATCCTGGTCAACATGGTGAAACCCCGTCTCTACTAAAAATACAAAAAATTAGCTGGGCATGGTGGCACATGCCTGTAATCCCATCTACTCAGGAGGCTGAGGCAGGAGAATCACCTGAACCAGGAGGCGGAGGTTGCGGTGAGCCGAGATCACGCCATCGCACTCCAGCCTGGGTAACAAGAAACTCCGTCTCAAAAAAAAAGCCAAAAAAAAAAAAAAAAAGTAAATAAAAATTCAAGGGAAATTTATCCTACTCATTTTAATTTATACCACTATTATCATTTATATGTGACATTAAATGTTTTTCAGGGCTTTAACATATATCAAACTAGTCTCAGAAAAGCTGTGAAACAGAATAGGAACACTACACTAGAATATGGATGTCAGCATGTAGGATAGCACATAATTCTCAAACGAAGGAGGTAAAGAACAAAGGATCTAGTCAACAAATAAAATCATTTTCCATGTCTCACTGCTAAAATACTCAAAGGTTTCTAAATGAGAATTCATGTCACCAGTCTTGTACAATATTTACGTCATAGAAAATAATAGGCTGAGTGTGATGGCTCACACCTGTAATCTCAGCACTTTGGGAGGCTGAGCTGGGTGGATCACTTGAGGTCGGGAGTCTGAGACCAGCCTGGTTATCACGGTGAAACCCCATTTCTATAAAAAAATATAAAAATTAACCAGTTTTGGTGGTGGGTACCTGTAATCCCTCCTACTCTGGAGGCTGAGGCAGCAGAATTGTTTGAACCCAGGAGGCAGAAGTTTCAGTGAGCTGAGATCATGCCACTGCATTCCAGCCTGGGTGACAGAGCAAGACTCTGTCTCAAAGAAAATAGGCCAGGCAAGGTGGCTCATGTCTATAATCCCAGCAAAGGTTTGGGAGGCAGAGGCAGTGGATCACATGAGGTCAGGAGTTCCAGAATAGCCTGGCCAACATGGTGAAACCAAGTCTCTACTAAAAATACAAAAAATAGCCGGGTGTGATGCTGGGTGCCTGTAATTCCAGCTATTGGAAAGGCTGAAGCAGGAGAATCACTTGAACCCAGGAGGCAGAGGTTGCAGTGAGCCTAGATCGCACCATTGCACTCCAGCCTGGGTGACAAGAGCAAAGTTCTGTCTAGAAATAAACAAACAGCAATAATAATACTAAGTCAAGGCCAGGTGTGGTCGCCCACGCCTGTAATCCCAGCACTTTGGGAGGCTGAGACGGGCGGATCACGAGGTCAGGAGATCAAGACCATCCTGGTCAACATGGTGAAACCCCATCTCTACTAAAATTACATGAAAAAGAATTTAGCTGGGCGTGGTGGCATACGCCTATAGTCCCAGCTACTCCGGAGGCTGAGGCAGGAGAACTGCTTGAACCCAGGAGGTGGAGACTGCAGTGAGCCAAGATCATGCCACTGCACTACAGCCTGGGCAACAGTGCAAGACTCTATCTCAAAAAAAAACACCAAAAAACAAAAAACAAATAAGTTTTGGCCAGGTGTGGTGATTCCTGCCTATAATGAGAGGCTGAGATGGGAGGATCCCCCAGCCCAGGAATTCAAGACCACCTTGGGCAACATAGGGAGACCCTCATCTCTATTTTCCTAAAAAAGTAAATTAAAAATAAATATATAGCCGGGCGCGGTGGCTCAAGCCTGTAATCCCAGCACTTTGGGAGGCCGAGGCGGGTGGATCACGAGGTCGAGAGATCGAGACCAACCTGGTCAACATGGTGAAACCCCGTCTCTACTAAAAATACAAAAAATTAGCTGGGCATGGTGGCTCGTGCCTGTAATCCCAGCTACTTAGGAGGCTGAGGCAGGAGAATTGCCTGAACCCAGGAGGCGGAGGTTGCGGTGAGCCGAGATTGTGCCATTGCACTCCAGCCTGGGTAACAAGAGCGAAACTCCGTCTCAAAAAAAAAATAAATAAAATAAATAAATAAATAAATAAATATATAAAAAGGTTCTATAAGAGAAGAATTCATGTTACTAAAGGGAAAGAGGCATATCTGTTCAACACAAATCTACCTGAGGACTAATAAAACAGAAGAAAATAAACATTTTCAAAATCACTAAAAAGTTATCTTCTAATGTTCCAAAACAGGAAGCAGGAGAGTAGCTGGACAGAGAGGGAAACAGTGCTTCTCAAGATTCTTCTAAGCTGCTGCGTGCTATCTATACTCAGACTAGATGAACTGGAGGTGAGAAGTGTCTGAAGAAAATCTCCCTGCTAACTAATCTCTGGGAGAGTCCTGTACTCTCTAATCAAATGTTAGATACTATGGAAACAATGTGGGTTTTCAGATGTATTTTCCTAAACTTATCTTCCTCTGGTACAACATCAGGATCAGGAACCAGTGTTCGTGGCACATCACTGAGGCTGTTTTCTCTAGTCAAACCTCAGGTTGTACATCAACCGCTCAAAACAGGGACTGTACTCACGTTGGCTACGGCAATGGACTGCACGTCAGCATTAGCGATGAGATGGCTCTTCACTAGCGTCCCAGTAGCCGAGTCCCAGAACTGCACCTTCCCAGCAGAGTCCACACTTATGACAGTGCCATCCGACAAGAAGGCAACACCCCACACGATGCACTTCCGCTTAGACACACCCATATATTGCCTGTCCACAATCATCTTATGAACTGTGCTGCCTGAAAAAATCAGAAAAGCACACCTTCAAATGGAACTTATTTCTCTGTCAGTCTTCAAAATCCATCTGCGGCCAAGGTGAGAGGATCACTTGAGCCCAAGGAGTTTGAGGCCAGCCTAGGCAACAAAGTGAGACCTTGTCTCTGTGAAAAAAAATGTAACAAATCTGCCTGTGGTGAGCATGGTATGGTAGGTGAGCTGACTGAACACAGCCAGCCTGTAAATGCTGGTTCTGGTGAACCTGATCTCAGAACTCCAGAATGGTTACCTGAAGAGAAGGGGCATGGGGAAAGCCTAATACAAATGAGACAGAAGGCGAGAGGGAGGAAGTAAGGGGAGAGAACAAGAACAGAATCCCCTTTTGGGGTGGTGAAATGGAAAGAAACATTTGGGACATTCACTTAAAGCTGGCCAACTGCACACATACATTATACTCTGCTCTTTTCCAAAATCACACAGGAAAGGGAGAAAACAGTGACAAAATCTAGGGAACTGAAAAACAGACAAGTAGTGACAATCAACTTAGCAAAGCCCTGAAACTAAGTCCTAGGTCAGCCAAGAAGAAAGCCAAGCAGCCACCTGATTTGTACTATAGAATCCTTAAAGACTCAGGAATTGGGGACCCCAGATGCTCTAGAAAAGGAGAAAGTGGGGCTTCAAAGGAAGAATCCATTAACAGCTGGTAGATCCCTCAGATAGCCATGCCCTAAGAAGCTGGGAAGCTCCCAAAACGCATCAGCAGAAGACTGGAGACACTGTCTGAGGAGGATTACCAGGCAGAAACAATATATGAAAACCAGGATTAAGTGAACATTTCTCATTGGAAGTTGAGAATATCATTCCTTTTTTTTCCCCTTTAGAATGATCTCACTTAAAATTATCGCTGTCAGGTAAAAAAAGAATGCTGATAGCCAGGCCAATACTCACCGGGCAGGAGGATGAAAAACCATTTCTGGGGAACATAACTGGCACAGGAGAAAAGATATGAAGATTCTGGCTTCATGACTACCCTGAATAAGCAGTCTAGACAGATCATTCTTCAGTGAAACTCAAGCTCAGTAAGCCACATGATGCAGTGATGAGATGATTGCCAGACATGTGAGGAAAGCCTTTAATGTGAAAGGCAGAGGCCAAAGGGACTAACAGAAACAAAGTAACAGGGAGGAAACAGGCAGAGTGAAAAACACTTGACAATTACTAATAGTTTTAGAAAGAGAAGAGTTTCTGTATAATGAAACAAAAAGAGAATGCTGGCCGGGCGCGGTGGCTCAAGCCTGTAATCCCAGCACTTTGGGAGGCCGAGGCGGGTGGATCACAAGGTCGAGAGATCGAGACCAACCTGGTCAACATGGTGAAACCCCGTCTCTACTAAAAATACAAAAAATTAGCTGGGCATGGTGGCGCGTGCCTATAATCCCAGCTACTCAGGAGGCTGAGGCAGGAGAATTGCCTGAACCCAGGAGGCGGAGGTTGCGGTGAGCCGAGATCGTGCCATTGCACTCCAGCCTGGGTAACAAGAGCGAAACTCCGTCTCAAAAAAAAAAAAAAAAAAAAAAAAAAAAAGAGAATGCTATAAAAATGAACATTCAGGAAACAAAAAAGCACTTTGAAAACGTCAAAAATTAAAAACTCAACAGAGGATTCAAAGATAAAAACGACAAACTTTCCCAGAAAACACAGTAAAAAGCCAAAGAAATTTAAAATAAGAGTGAAAGAATTTCCCCCAGAATTTAAGGACACAGGTTTTAGATTAAAAGAACCTACCAGGCGTCCAGAACAATTAACTGATCCACACACCAAGAAACATAATTATTATATTTCATAACAGTAAGGATAAAGAAAGCATCCTAAAAGCTCCTGGGGGGAGGAAAAAAAACAAAACAGGTCCTATACAAAGGGATCAACTCTTAGAATGCCATCTGACTTGCTAATAATACCAGGAGCTGGATGAAAGAGAAGCCAGGGCTTCAACCTAGAATTCTTTCTCATGTACTCTTACTCAGGATCCACCGAAGGATAACCCAAGACAGTGAGTAACACAGAAAGATGGGATCCTATCGAATAGAAAAGCAAAGGAGATCCCTAAAACAACTGAAAAATCAATCAGAGTTCCAGATCTTACAGTTGTGCAGCAGTCCCATAGTGGCTAACCCAGATGGGAATGGGTCAGAATGCACTATGAGGGACTTTTTCACAAAGATAAAAGTAAAGAAAGAAAACCAGATGGACTTGAACCTAATGTATGCAACTGGAAAAACGTGGGGCTGTAACAGTGAGAGAGAGAGACAGAGACACTATGAAACAAAAAGCATACAGGAAAAGAAAAAAAACTTACTATTCGAGTGGTATACATATAGTCATAATAATGAAAACGACTACTAATCTGAACAAAGTTATAATAGAACCATACTGGGAGGATCAGGAGAAAGTATGAATGCCTGTAGCAGATGGTTAGAAAAAGAGGGCCAAGTCGTAAAAGTCAATAAAAGATGGTCTAAAGCTGAAAACTCAAAATGTAGCATAAAAAGTATGCTAGGTTCCGCACAGTGATAAATACCAAAACAATCAGCTAAGGGTCACAAGGGGTTGCCTTGAGGAGTGTGAAAGGGATATAGAGGGATTCTCTCTCTTTTTTGTAATATGCTTAAGGAATTCTATTTTTTTTTTTTTTTTTAGATGGAGTTTCAGTCTTGTTGTCCAGGCTGGAGTGCAATGGCACTAACTGGGCTCACCAAAACCTCCATCTCCCAGGAGGTTCAAGTGATTCTCCTGCCTCATCCTCCCGAGTAGCTGGGATTACAGGCTTGCGCCACAATGCCTAGCTAATTTTGTCCTTTTAGTAGAGACAGGTTTCTCCATGTTGGTCAGGCTGGTGGCCTCCCAAAGTGCTGGGATGACAGGCATAAACCACCTAGCCCGGCCAGGAATTCTTTATATATGCATATATAACAAATAAAAAAGTTACTTGGGCATTGAAGAAATAGGAGAGAGGTGCATTACCTGTTTCATCTCTGTATCTCAGATGAAAGTCAGACATGTCCACCTAACAAGTTGAGATCAATCCCACCAATGAAGGATTCTATTAAGCCAATTTTCCAGGCCAAAAACAGAAAATGTCATGGTTCTCTACTTTTCTGATCTTATGTTTCACCAATTATGCTACAAAGATCTTATGTTCCCCAATGACAGAAGCCCATCTTTACCAAGGACTGGGACCTATTTATAGATCCCAGTCCTTGGTAAATTCTACTCTTCACAGTATGTTAATATATTAGTAGTTGGGAGAGAATTTTATTGTGAATTCTTACTATGATGAATGAAAAACAACTACATCTTACTGAAGATCCAAGATTCCCCTAAAAGCAGCAGTAGTAACCCAAGAAAAGAGTAAAATTCATTGTGGACATCTCAGAAGGTTAATGACACGTTAGGCCCTAAAGGTCATGAAAGCATGATAAAGGCTCAAGCTTTTGAAAATGCAGCAATGTGAAACTGACAAACAATACTCACACCCCAAATGAACTGAGAAAAACAATCACCTGATTTGACATCAAACACACTAATGTAGTCTATGGAGCCAGCTGCAACGTGGGTACCAGAGGGATGCCAGCTGAGACTCAGGATGCGACCTTGGGAGTTGTACAACAAAAAAGAAAGTGACATACATGTAAATATACAGAGAGTAACCGGGCTCTCTTCCCTCAATTATCTCTAGAGTTTACTACAATCTTAGCTCTCTCATCTACTGTACTCCCTGAAGAACGATTTCATAACAGAAGAGGCACAACTCTGCCCTGGGATCCACAATGAAGCATTTGATACTTTCATAATATATAAATGATAGAAGTGTAAATAAATATAACCTTTTGGGGATGAGCCTAGGAGTGATCTCACAAAATTTAAATGTGCATACTTTTTGGCCCAGTAATTGTGCTAGGAACGATCAAAGAGAAATACTTGCATGAGGGCCCAAAAATATGTATATAAGAATGTTCATTGCAGCACTGGTTGTAGTAGTACAACATATATATACACACACATATATATATATATATACACATATGTACATATATATATGTATGTATATGGCCAGGTGTGTATACATACATATATATGTACATATATATACATATGTACATATATATGTATGTATATGGCCAGGTGTGGTGGTTCATGCCTGTAATCCCAGCAGTTTGGGAGGCCAAGGCAGGCAGATTACTTGAGCCCAGGAGTTCAAGACCAGCCTGGGGAACATGGTGAAACTCTGTCTCTACAAAAAAACACAAAAAATTAGCTGAGTATAGTGGTGCACACCTATAGCCCCAGCTACTCAGGAGGCTGAGGTAGGAGGACCACCTGAGCCCGGAGGTGAAGGCTGCAGTGAGCCATGATCATGCCACTGCACTCCAGACTGGGGAACAGAATGAAGCCTCGTTTACAAAAAAAAAAAAAAAAAAAAAAAAAAAAAAAAAAAAAAAAAAAAGGAAAGAAAAGAAAAAAGGAAAGAAAAAAAAAACAATACATATAAATATATTTCAATAGAAATTAGGCTAAATAATTCCATTCCATAAAATGGAATGCCATGCAGGCTGGCACAAATAACACAGAAAGATGTCTGTGGTGGATCAAGTGCAAGAACTGTATTTCTTTATGTGAATATACAGAAAGATCTAAAACAGTAGTTCCAAAATGTTACCCACAGAGTGGAAACGGAATACCCATTTTATTTTATTTATTTATTTTTTTTGAGACAGAGGCTCCCTCCGTTGCCCAAGCTGGAGTGTAATGGCATATCTCGGCTCACTGCAATCTCCACCTCCCAGATTCAAGTGATTCTCCTGCCTCAGCCTCCCTAGTAGTTGAGATTAGAGGCACCTGCCACCATGCCCGGCTAATTTTTTTTTTTTTTTTTTTTTGAGACAGAGTTTCGCTCTGTCACCAGGCACAGGCTGGAGTGCACTGGCACAATCTCAGCTCACTGCAACCTCTGCCTCCCAGGTTAAGCAATTCTCCTGCCTTAGCCTCCTGAGTAGCTGGGACTACAGGCGTACCCCACCACGCCCAGCTAATTTTTGTATTTTTTAGTAGAGACAGGGTTTCACCATGTTGGCCAGGATGGTCTCCATCTCTTGACCTTGTGATCTGCCCACCTGAGTCTCACAAAGTGCTGGGATTACAGGCATAAGCCACCGCACTTGGCCTAATTTTTGTATTTTTAATTTTGTATCTTTATGAGACAGGGTTTCATCATGTTGGCCAGGCTGATTTTGAACTTCTGACCTCAAGTGATCCACCCACTTCAGCCTCACAAAGTGCTAGGATTACAGGTATGAGTCACTACACCTGGCTGGGACACCCCTTATCTATTTCATACTTGGCAAAAGGTATGAGATTTTTAAAAAGTATTGTATTACCTGTGTAATTAAAAAGGAACACCCAGGCTGGGTGAGCCACTATTAGCACTTTGGGAGGCCAAGGCAGGTGGATCACAAGGTCAGAAGTTCGAGACCAGTCTGGCCAACATGGTGAAATCCCATCTCCACTAAAAATACAAGAATCGCCGGGGGCGGTGGCTCAAGCCTGTAATCCCAGCACTTTGGGAGGCCGAGGCGGGTGGATCCCAAGGTCAAGAGATCGAGACCATCCTGGTCAACAAGGTGAAACCCCGTCTCTACTAAAAATACAAAAAAAATTAGCTGGGCATGGTGGTGCGTGCCTGTAATCCCAGCTACTCAGGAGGCTGAGACAGGAGAATTGCCAGAACCCAGGAGGCGGAGGTTGCGGTGAGCCGAGATCGTGCCATTGCACTCCAGCCTGGGTAACAAGAGCGAAACTCCGTCTCAAAAAAAAAAAAAAAAAAGTTTACAAGCTGATCCTTTATAGAAACAGCCTGCTAACCCCTGCTCTAGAGGGTCAATGCCAGTTCAGCCCAGGTGGAGCCCAAGGATGGGCAATTGTTTAAAAACTCTCTCATTCAACTTGAATGCACCAAAAGGATTAAGACAGTTCCCTGGCCAGGCCCAATGGCTCATGCCTACAATCTCAGCACTTTGGAAGGCCAAAGCAGGTGGATCACTTGAGTGAGGCCAGGAGTTCCGAGACCAGCCTGGCCAACACTGTGAAATCTTGTCTCTACTAAAAATATGAAAATCAGTGGGGCATGATGGCACATGCCTGCTATCCTAGCCACTTGGGGGGCTGAGGTACCAGAATCACTTGAAGCCAGGAGGTGGAGATTACAGTGAGCCAAGATTGCGCCATTGCACTGCAGCATGGGTGACAGAGTGAGACTCTGGCAAAATTAAAGTTGAAGACTTCATTTACATGTATGCTTGTTAAAACATCACGAAATTAAGTGATAACTAACAAACTGACTTCCACAGAAACACTAGGTTTCCATTTTTGGATTTTTGGTTTTCCATATTAATTAAGCAGTCACAATTACGCTACACAGGGGGCAAAACCTGGACTGGGGATGGCTTCTAGCATATACCCTCCTTGTACTCAGCAGAGATAAAATATTACCCGAATCCATGGGAAAATATCCCATTCCCAGGGGCAAAGAAACCTAACTTCTTATTAAGTCTATTCACTACCCCACCAAAAATGACCCTTACTTTTCTGCCGATCAAAATTTCTTTCAAACTGGATTTTGTCTGGGGTAATTTGAAATAGTTTCACAGATCCATCTTCACAGCCAACCTATCAGAGAAAAAGAGATAGTAAACAGAAAAGATAAATAGTAAACATTTTATAGGACTAAAAAGACACACACAAACACAAACAGGCACACTCTCTCTCTCTCTCATTTTATCTTCCTTCTTAAAGTTTTGCTCTGAAAGAGAAAAATCATTTGTGAGAGAAACAGAGTACTAGGTCTCAAGAAAATGATAGTGTATTCTCGATAGTCTTCATATCCTAGACAATAAACAGACTGATATTAAGAGTTCTAATTAGAAGCTCCATTCCTGCATATGTGGGTTAGAAGTAGGAGTTCATAGAATACTTCTGCTGGAGACCCTTAGCCTGAATAAAAGACCTATTAACACTATAACCTAAATGGAAACACTTCAAGATATTGTGCAAATAGCAGAGATCAAAAAGAATCAGACTCATCACATAGAATTAAAGATCTGAGCGCACCCATTCTAATGGTAATTATGGAAAGGGTCTCGGTGTGTGGTCACATTTTTGAGACACACTGTGTTGAAACACAGGTGCATAGGTTAACTTGCTAAAGGCACTCTCAGAATTCTTCTATACTAATGTGCATTGTGAATTTACAGCAGATTAAATATGCTGTATTTCTGAAATGAAATTTATCATAAAACGCAAAGCATACCAAAACAAAAAAACCTCTACATCTCCAAATTCCACAGAAGACAGTTTGAGAAATGTTGAACTCATGTAATCCTCTCATTCCATAAATGAATCAACAAGGTCCAAACTGGCAGCAAAAAGAATGCTGGGGATTTTTTTAATCTTCAGTACCAATTTCAATCTTGTAGTTGGGGTTGCTACATACCATAATGCATTGTTACTCTGTTATGAGCACAGGGAAGAAAGTTTGAGTGGGCACAAGACAAACTGTGGTTTGAATCACCAATAGATGCTTACTAACCAAAAGTTGAGAGCCACTGGGGCTGGCAGCCATGCTCCAAATAGGTCCTCCAAAGGCATCCATAGCATACTTGATATTTAACGCCTGTAAGTCATATTCAATAATCTCGCCATTGAGCCCAGCACTAAAGAGTCGCTGTCCTTCTGCCCAACATAAAGCTTCTGTAGCCCGAGACTCATGACCTGGGAAAAACTGCAGAAACACCGTAACTTGTCAACATTCCCACAAATTCATGAGGTAGTGGTACTTAGTTGTCATAGGCAACATGGTAAAAATGACTTTCCCATAAATAACTAGTGTGGGGTTCTGTGCTATCAGCTCATGCCTACTGACATTTTCATTTTTTCCGCTCAAATTCTATTTACTTTTATAGAGTTAAATTTGTTTCTTTTACTAGAATTACTTCAGTAAAACATTTTCAGCAGAAAAGGTTTGAACTGCACTCCAGCCTGGGTGGCAGAGCAAGACAGTCTCTACAAAAAATATAAAAAGTAGCCGGGTATGGTGGCACACGCTTATGAGTCCCAGCTACTATGGAGGCTGACAGGGGAGGATTACTTGAGCCTGGGAAGAAGAGGCTACAGTAAGACGTGGCCTCCCAAAGTCCTGGGATTATTACAGGAATGAGCCACTGTACCCAGCCCAAAAGTTTTCACATCTACCAAGGCATTTGATTCTTACACCTGCTTGACAACAAATGGCCTAAGTAGGTATAATTTTTCCTATTTCAAGTTGAAAAGGCCAAGATACATGGGTTAAGTCGGTTGCCAAACGTGCCAAAGTCAATGGTATGAGAAGAATGAAGGTCTCCTTACTCCTCGCTTATATTCTTCTCACTTTTTTCTGAGACAGGGTCTCACTTTGTCACCCAGACTAGAGTGCAGTGGTGCTATCACGGCTCACTGCAGCCTCAGCCTCCTGGGATCAAGCGATCCTTCTGTCTGAACCCCCCAAGTAGGTGGAACTATGGGCATACAACACCATACCTACCTAATTTATTTACTTTTTGTAAGAACGGGCTGGTCACTATGTTGCCCAGGCTGGTCTCGCACTCCTGGGCTCAAGTGATTTGCCTGCCCTAGCTTCCAGAAGTATTGGGGTTGCCAGTGTGAGAGCCACTGCACCCAGCCTCTTTTCACTTAAACATACTAATTTTTTCTTGCTCTGAGAGTCACCGACAGAGGTAAGTAATCTTAACTAGCAGGAAAAGAAATACAGGGAAAGCAGAAAACTAGCCTGAGTTAATTAATTGTTAAAGGATAAAGAAAACAGATGAAAGAGAAAAGAAAATAAGGAACACTAGGCAAGGAATGGCTGACTTATCCATTCACCAAACATTAACTAAGCAGTGGCTTTGTAGGAGGCACTTGATAAGTGGTAGGAATGCAGATGTGAACATCACTGACATGGTTCCTATTCTCATAAAATTGGAAGTGCAGCATGGAAGAAAGACATTAAACAAACACACCAATTACATAGTCATAACTGTTAAAAATGACAAACAGAAAAATCACAATATAGCCATGGCTGTAAAAAAACAAAAACAAATGAGAACAAGAAAAAGAAAGAAAATCAGCCTGGCGCAGTGGCTCACATCTGTAATCCCAGCACTTTGGGAGCCTGAGGCAGGCAGATCACTTGAGGTCAGGAGTTCGAGACCAGCCTGTCCAACGTGGTGAAACCTCGTCTTTACTAAAAATACAAAAATTAGCCAGGCGTGGTGGTGCATGCCTGTTAATTCCAGTGACTTGGGTGGCTGAGGCAGGAGAAATCACCTGAACTTGGAAGGCAGAGACTGCGCCACTGCACTCCAGCCTGGGTGACTCCATCTCAAAAAACAAAGAAGAAAGGAAGTCACCAGATGCAACAGGCACACACCAGTGCATGTACTTCATACCACAGAATGTAACCTATTTGCGGTGGGCCTGCAATTTTTAAATTGTTAGTTTTTCAGGAGTGAACTCAGTAAGTCATCCCTTTCCACATTTCCTAAACCCTAAACCAGGCGTCCCCAAACTACGGCCCTCGGGCTGCATGCGGCCCCCTGAGACCATTTATCCGGCCCCCCGCCGCACTTCAGGAAGGGACACCTCTTTCACTGGTGGTCAGTGAAGAGGAGCACAGTATACGGCGGCCCTCCAACGGTCTGAGGGACAGTGAACTAGTCCCCTGTGTAAAAAGTTTGGGGACGCCTGCCCTAAACCTACCTCTCAGGGAATGCAATTCTCCACTAAGGTTCTATGCCGTGCTACAGTTTTATCATATTTATTTTACAGGTTGGAAACGGTATACTTATCTTTCTCCCACTGGTCTTTGAATTCCATAAAGGTAGGGCTTCTAACGTTTGTCTTAGTGCCACTCATTCACTGAGAAACATTTACAAAATGCCTAAATTCCAAATACCAGGCTGCTGGGGACTGAATTCACTCATTTGCTCATCTATTCATTAATATCACAGTGCCCAGTACACAATAGTTATGCAGTATGAACTAAAATGTTGTACCTGAAGAAAATCACTCGTCATTGCTCTTGGAGGGGGAGTGAAAAAGGACTAATAACCCTCCACATACACCCAAAGGACATTTTACCTAATTTTAAAACTCCTTTACTCCCAAATGTAGGCAGGTAGGTCTACATTCTCTCAGACAGATCAACTTTCGAATCCATCTTCCTGCCATCATGTTACCAAAAAGTCTCTGATATTAAAATGTGTTTATCATTTTTTCTGAATTGACAATGAACGGGTACTGACACTCCCAGCAGGAAATGTTGCTTACCAAAGCTACAATGGTGGTGAGACTGATAGACCAACAATTTCCCTTCTTGCAGCCAAAAGATCCAGCAAACCTGTTTCCAATGACAGGCAGTGAGATGACACATTTCTAGGTAGGACCCTTCTAATCAACATTCTAATCCAACCAGTCAGACAGATCTCAGAAGTTCGGTAATTCTAAGCAACTTCAGAGGGGTAAGGAAGTCAGTCTATTAGTTTGATTATAAAAGGCATGTAAGTTTCTTGAACTTCAGAAGAAATTACATCAAAACACCATATCAGACTCCCAAATGACTTACTTTCTCTTGAAAGTAGTTTGCTGACAAGTTATAAATTTCTACAGTGCCATCTGTTCGTGAAACAGCCAATCTGTTTGACTGGTTATTGTAAGCCACACAGCGGATTGCTGATGGAACATAATTAAAGAAACGTACTCGATGGACCTTAAATTCACCCATTCCTACAGAAGGAAAAAAGAGTCGTTATTGTTCAATGTTAACTGCAGTATGTCACACACAGTATTCAGTTCCTTACTATCACTGTTCTGGAAGGAAGGCTGCAACTGCATCTCCTGAAGTTCATCTACTAACAATGCCCCCGACAAGAATCGTTCAATCTTCGGAAGCTCAGGATGGTTTGAATAATGAGGCTTCAGCAAAAAAACAGTAAGGGTCCTACTCCATAGCTCCAGAATTCCAATCTCGGGGGGTGGGGGCGGGGGGGCGCCTAGGAATCTGCATTTTAGCAAGCATCTCTCCTCAACTCTATTGCTAAGTTTGCACACAAAAGGCCTAAACAGAGGTAGTGACAGTGGGGCTGATGGGGCAGGCAGAACCGAGCTCCTCTTGAGGAAAAAATAGTGCTTGACTTACTCTGGCTGCGTGGTCTGACGTTTGTCACTTACCCTATCCCTCACGCCCGCCAACATACAAACTAAGTGAGGATAGAAAGTGGGTCTTGTTCGCCTCTCACTCGTCTAGCTTCAAGGTTAGGAACCCGCAGACAGAGCAGGCGCGTTCTGTCAGGTCAGGCTCGGCCAGGCCCGACTACAAGAGCGTCTGAAGCGCGCGGTCTTCACCTCCCCTTCCCTCTCCCAGAGTTTACCGAGCAGCCCCCACCCAGCCTGGGTACAAGAAGACCCTCGGGGCAAGGAGCTCAGCAGGTCGCCGACCCTGGGCCCGCGCACACTGTCAGACTCCCAGCTCTCCGATCCGTTTCCCACACCCTTTCCCCAACTCACCAGCTGCCCCGCGCTCTCTTTCTCGGCGCTCACCTCCCTCCGACCTGGCCCCACGTGCGCGCGCGCTCTTAGGCTTTGCCCCGGAAGTGCTCCTGGCGCATAGCCGGAAGTGCGCAGGCAGTGCTCGCGGCGGCGGCGACGGCGGCGGGAGGTTCGGTTGTCGCCCGTTGGCCGCGCGGCGCCGCGCTCGGCGGCCGCCATTGCAGGTCAGGCCGCGGGAGGGGGGCACGGGAGGCCGCGGGGAGCGAGGGCCGAGCTGGGGATGGGGGAGAGGGCGCGAGGGAGCGGGAAGCTAGGGAGCCGGAGCCGGGCGGGGCGCACGGCTTGGGGAGAAGAATGGCGAGCAGAGGGGCGGGGAGCGCGGGCGGGGGAGGGGTAGCCGGGAAGGGGGAGGGCGGCGGGAGGGCGGCGCGGAGGTGGGGGCGAGCCCGAAGGGGCCCCCGGGGTGGGAGGGCCGGGAGCGTGGGGGAAGGGAGCGGTGTGGAGACCGAAGGCCGAGGGAAGGAAGGGAGCGAACAGGGCGGAGCGGGAGAAGGGCGGAAAGTGTGGCCGAGCGCGGGCTGAGGACGGAGAGGGGGCGGCGCGGGCCGGAACCTCGAGGTACGTGCGGGAAGGGGATCTTCCCGGGGTTGGGAGGGAGCCCAGCCCACTGTGCTTGCGGGAGCGGAGTAGAGCTGGAACCTAGGAAGTAGCGGGAATAGCAGAAAGGGGACTTCGGGGTGGGGGGTAGGACCGTGGGATTTTGTTCCAGGGAACATTTGTAATCGTGGAGCGGGGAGGCTTCTGGGAGAGCTAATTGGAAGGGTGGTTGGAGAGTGATTGCAGGCTCTCTTGTGGGTGGGAAGCCGAGAGACTAGTGGGGTAGGGTTCTGGAAGAGCCAAGTTATTGAGAACCGGGAACAGTTTTGAGAAGGAGGGTGGTAGAGAAAAGACTAATAAAAGGGTAATCTTTCGGGAGGAGGATGAACGGTTTGGAGGACCACTCCGGTGGGTGGTGTGGAGGAAGGTGGTTTAATGAATAGTTTCCTTGGGAGGCAGGAAAAGGGGTTAAACAGCTTGTAATTTGGAGGCGGGTGGAGAATAGTGGGGAAGCGGATTGAGAAGTCCCAGAAAGTGGGTGGGACTAGAAATAGGAAGTGTTTGTAGTTTAGCAGAAAGGGTCGGTGGGGGCCGAGAGGGAGTGGGTGGAGAAGATGGGGGGTGGGGTGGGGGAGGAAGAGCTTAGAGGGAGACCCCACGCCGAGCTAGAAAGAAAAAGGTTTGGGGGAAGATGGGGTGGTAGCAGTAAGAGGAGGACAAGCTAAGGATGGGACTGCAGAGTAGCAGAAGATGGAGAAAACTGCAGTAACTCAGATCGACTGAAGCCATCTTTTCCACCCATTGGTACAAATACCAGTAATTGATTCCCTCCAACCTGGGAATCCTAAAATGTGATGGGAAGTATCACGTGTATGCATAGCATCCACACACGTTTTTAAACACACTCTTCACTGAAGTTTGGAAGCATTCAATTACCCCAAGCCTCCGTAAGTCCCTTTTTGGAGGGAAGCAAGCTTCTCATTTAGAAACAGGATTTTTTAGATTTAGTAACATAAGCCTTTCAAGAGACAAGGTCCCCTTCGAAGAAGTATAGACCTGTCCCCTTCAGTCACAAAACCACGATAACACTACAAATAAAAATAATCTGTATTCAGTTGTATGTAAAGCATTCCGAGTTGTTCACTTGGTAGAAAGGTACATAGAGACATAGTCGTCATATTTAGAGAAATGACCTTCCAGAACTTTAATTCCTGAAGCAGTTTGGTGAACCACAACTGCCATGTTTGAATTCTCCCATTTTGTAAACTTGATTTTATTCTGGTGACCTGCCGCTTTCGTAGAATGCTTTAGTCCATTATAAACATTCATATGCTAATACAATGTAGTATTAAGACATTCTATGGGATGAATACTAAGAAAATGCCACCTTCCTCTGGGAAAGCAATAGCTTGACCCTGAAGGCTTACCATGTGTTTAGACACTGCTAAAAGTTACCTTCATTACCTCATTTTTGCAAAAGCTTTTGAAATAGATGTTTATGCCCAATTTATTGTTAGGAAAACACGTGAGGTTAAACTACCCACTGTCACATATTGGCTAGGTGGCAAAATCACAGAATCCAGATCTGTATGACAAGTGAGTGCTTCACTGTATCCCTAAACAAAGTATCCACCCTGGGATTAAAACAAAAAAAAAAAGCTCAATAAATGCCAGCTGTTGGCCTAGCAAAAAATTAAAAATTATGAATATTTGCACTCTAGAAAAATTGATTCCACCCCAGTTTAGAAAAAAACGTTTAAGGCTTGGGAATTTAAAGCCTTGGTTTCTTGTCTTTAGAAAAAAGAAAATACAAAATGAAACAATTTCTAAAACATTGTTTAGCTTTGTTAAAATTTAGTTATTTGTAGTTAGGTTGAACCATTGAGAAAAAGCCTCTTTTTTTGCTATAAGCCATATGTTCTGTTTAATTGGATACATAGCACACTTTCTTCTGCCACATTTTATTTTGAAGGATTATGAGGCTCATTGCTCAGGCTGTTCTGTTCTCTGTAACACAGTAATCTTTTAACAATTTAATATTTAACAATTCAGAGACCAGAGGATAAGAATTAAATTTTGTAGAAGATTAAAATGAATACTTGACAAAGAACACCCTGTATTCTTATGACTTATTTTCTGTCACGCTCAGGAGCAGAGGTGTAGGGTAAAGCTGCATACTAGAGGTGGCATTGAGTAGATTTTTCTAAAAGTTTCAAAAACCAAAACATATTGATTGGATATGATAAAAGCAAGCTGCTTGTTTGTAACTGCCTGCCCCACAGATGGCAATAGTTTGGTGGCAAGTTACAAGTCTTCCCCATAGGTTACTTATTTGCCGTTTTGTAAGAGATGCTGTGAAAATGAGGCTAATATTTGTAAAGCAGCAGCAGTTCTTGTGCAAAAATGCTTTATAAGAGGGGACTGTGTGAGGAGAACTGCAAGAGGGGGCCGGATTGTGGAGGGGTTAGGGTTCATATCCCAGCTCTAGGATTAACTAGTTGTGTGACCAGTTAACATTAGCCCCTCTAAGCCTGTTTCCTGGTTTGTGAAATAGTGAGAAGACTACTAAAATCATAGTGTTAGGGTGAAATGAGAGGATCCAGATAAATGTTGGAAAAAGGCTAGCTATGTGAGAAATGAAGCTTTTATATTGTAAAGATAATGCTCTGCCTGGACTTTTCGTAAGAAATCGTGGTGGTACTTTGATTTGTCAGTTTTTGTTGTTTTTTTGTTTTGTTTTTGAGTGGAGTCTTGCTCTGTTGCCCAGGCTGGAGTGCAGTGGCCCCAATCTCACTGCAACCTCTGCCTCCCAGGTTCAAGCAATTATCCTGTCTGGGCCTCCTGAGTAGCTGGGATTATAGGTGTGCGCCTGGCTAATTTTTTTTTTAAACTGAGTGCACTGAACCAGGGATAATTTTTCTAATTTTAGTAGAGATGGCGTTTCACCATCTTAGTCAAGCTGGTTTTGAACTCCTGACCTACATGTGATCCGCCTGCTCAGCCTCCCAGAATGGGATTGCAGGTGTGAGCTACTGCACCCTGTGGGTTTTTTTTTTTTGTCTGTTTGTTTGTTTTATTTTAAAATAGAGATGGGGTTTCACCATGTCGGCCAGGCTGGTCTCCTACTCCTGACCTCAAGCAATCCACCCGCCTCGGCCTCCCAAAGTGATGGGATTACAGGCATGAGCCACTGTGCCTGGCTGGGTTTTTTATGATAATAGTTAACTAACTTCAGAAGACAGAAGCCAAGGCCGGGCGCGGTGGCTCAAGCCTGTAATCCCAGCACTTTGGGAGGCCGAGGCGGGTGGATCACGAGGTCGAGAGATCGAGACCATCCTGGTCAACATGGTGAAACCCCGTCTCTACTAAAAATACAAAAACTAGCTGGGCGTGGTGGTGCGTGCCTGTAATCCCAGCTACTTAGGAGGCTGAGGCAGGAGAATTGCCTGAGCCCAGGAGGCGGAGGTTGCGGTGAGCCGAGATCGCGCCATTGCACTCCAGCCTGGGTAACAAGAGCGAAACTCCGTCTCAAAAAAAAAATAAAAAATAAAATAAAAAATAAAAAAAAAGAAGACAGAAGCCAAATGATGGTTAAATAGGGTATACCTCAGATTGGTCTGATTCCAGCCAAAGCTTTTGGATTTTGGGTAGGGTTCCCATTGTGAGTCTCGATTGATTCTTTGAATGCTGCTGCCTTTTTAAGGGGAAAAAAGTTTCCTGAGCTAAAGTCATTTGACTAATTTAGGAATACAGAATTTATGTATTGTTTAGTTCATTTAGCTGTATCAAGGCCTGTAAAGATCAAGTAGAAAAACTTTTTTCCCCCTTCTTAGGAGACTGGGGACAGGGGACATAATATTATTGCAGGGAAAGGTTTGGTTTTCTTTATACCTTCTTATCTCTCCAAGGCTACACGTGAGTTGTGGCCCGTGAGACTGATACCATGCTGTAATATAATGAATTTAAATAATCTTTTCGAAAAGCTGCATCACAAAAGTCTCTCCCTGCCTCTACAATTAACCTTGTCAACCTGGAATTACTGTTCCTAACTGAAAACATGTTAGTCCTAGCAAATGTGGGATTGAACTTGGCTCTTAAGACAGAATTGGCCAGCATGGTGGGTCATGCCTATAATCCCAGCATTTTGGAGGCCAAGGTGGGTGGATCACTTGAAGTCAGGAGTTCGAGACCAGCCTGGCCAACATGGTGAAACTGTCTCTACTAAAAATACAAAAATTAGCCGGGCATGGTGGCAGGACGCCTGTATTCCCAGCTACTCTGGAGGCTGAGGCAGGAGAATTACTTGAAGCTGAGAGGCAGAGGTTGCAGTGAGCTGAAATGCCACAGCACTCCAGCCTGGGAGACAGAGCAAGACTGTCTCAAAAAAAAAAAAAAAAAAAAAAAAAAAAAGTTGCTGGGAGAGCTCTCCCACTGACTCCCTTTTAGTTTCTTGACTTCATATATAGTGTATTCATCAAACTGTGCCTTCAGATGCTCTTGATAGAGCTGTGATTTCTAAACCTTACAACAAACAACTAGAAATTGCTCTAGTTGTCTTTCAGTGTTGCTGGAATGAATTGAGACTGATGA